TGACTCTTATCTTTACTGTGGGAACTAGATAATTAGGGGAGGGTTGGATGACGTCAAGAGCCCGGCGCGAAAAATAGAGACATCGTCTGAGAGACTCGCTGAGGTAATCAGTCGAACTCGGGACCACGGCGAGGCAACACTTATCTTGGACGGGAGCCATATTAATGCTCACTTTTTCTTACAAAAAGCCAAAGTAGTAATCTTATCTAATGTTTACATACCACATTATGTGTACAATGAATTGGGCAACGTCGTACTGTCTAGACGACCTGATGATGACACCAATACAAACAGGACGAGCCAAGCAGGGTTGAAAACATTTGAATTTTCAAATTGTGAGGCAGCGTGGTGGAATCAGGCTCTCGTCAATTTTTGGACATGTAGAGCTATTGGTATCATCTTAAACTTGTTCACTTGTAAAATATTCATTTATCTTGAACACAAGTCCAGATATTTGCGAATGAAGGAGGTGGGGGTCACCTGTTTTCTGAGGTAAAATTAGTGAGAAAATGGCCGTCAAAGAGTAGTTATTTCCTTAGCTTAAGTCTGTGGCAACTGAAAATTTACATTTATTGTACCTTTAATCAACGTTTTTCAGAAAAATCCACACAGAAATGAATTCTTTAATGGGCATAAAAAATGTGTTGAGCCAAAAAAACGAAAATTTGATAAAAATTCACAAACCTGCGGAAAAATGCAAGTTTCTTCACTTTGATTATATTGACGAGAGCCTGATTCCACCACACTGCCTCACATTTATATGAATTTTCAAATTAACTTTGTCCAGCCACAAAACGACAGGAACTGACTGACGATGGAGAAATCCCCCAGGCACAACAATGTTTCTGTCCCTCTTCCTTTTGGGGTATAAGCTACTACTACTAGATCTAGTACTACCCAAAAAAATTTTTTTTTACTACACAAGTTGTTCTGGAGTACTTTAAAAAAGAGGAATAAATGTTATATTAATGCACATTTTTCCATTCAGTTTTCTTAGACTAAAATTTTAATAAGTCGGGTAAAAACATGTACACTATGAAATATGCAAAATTCATGAATCTGATTTGTGTGTGGGGTTTCGAAATGTGCTCCAACATTGCTTTTGGTCTCTGATGGTCGGACATCCCCTACGTCCTTAAAGCTTTAAACAAGGAATCACACATGAACTTTTCAATTAATGGTTGATGAGAGGGGACCTTTGATCCCTCATGTCTGGTTTCCAGCATGTTCAGATTTCAAACTTTATATTAAATTTGGTAAATTCAATTTGCCCAAAACAAAACTGCTTTTCTGAAAAACACATTTTTAATAAGCAAAAGAATTAACAAACATAGAGGCCATTTTCTTTCTAACAAAAACAGCCGCTACTCACGGTAAAACTCCCATCCTGCTTCACTTTTCAAAAAGGCAAAGGCCAGTCTTACACAAAGCAGTCAATACCAAAAAGAATTTGCGGTCCCAAATTATATATATTTAAGTGGACTGGATCAAAAGCATAAGATCAGTGCCACTCACAATCGCTCAAATCAATTTCTGAGGGTTTCCAGATAAAGCCATCCTTGGATTAAAATTAAAGACATTGAGTCAAAGGGTGCACTTGCTGCACTGTCTCCTCCTGTGTTTCACTATTAGATATATTTCCTCCCTTGTTTCTATAAATGAATAAATAAAGAGCACCTAAGTCAAGGCATTTGATTATTTTTAAGCGCTCTTTTTTTCCTCTAATTTTCTCACAACTTCAAAGAATTTGTTTTAGTTTTAGTAGAGGTTTTATGGCGCTCGCAACTGCATAAGGTCATATGAGGGCCAGAAGATTAGAGGTGTTACAAACATAAAAAAGAAGGAGGGTAGATAAGGAGAATAGATGTTTGATAGGAAAGAAGAAGCAAACCACACCAGAGCACCCGCCAACCACCCACACTTCAAAGAATGACTTCAACGTTTGTGGAATGGTGCTGACAACATACTTATGTTATATTCTTATTACCACAGATGAATTATCTACAGGCACAGGACACACAATCAATGTAATGATTTGAATTATAAAACAATGACTCAAGACATACAACGTTACATCTTTTAGCCCAGAGCTCAACAAACAAAACCGTTTTGATTGATTGGGTAGATGTTTTACGGCACTATCGACACAATTTTGGTCATTTAAGCGCCAGCAAAACCGTGAGTTCATGTGAATGTTTTCATCACAAAAAGTAAGGATAAGTAAAGATAACATTGCACAAAAGACAGGTCACAACCAGAACTGCCTGAAAGGCCAGCCTCAACAGCTTACCCCAGTGCCACCACACCCCACCCTTCCCCCAATAATAAAATGTGAGACATCGCAGTGAAATCAGGCACTCGTCAAAATTTTAATGAAATCGAAGAAATCAGCATTTTTCTGCCTGTTTGGACTTTTTTTTTTCTCGAATTTTTTTATTTTTGGCTCCACACTTTGTCTGTCCATTGAAAAACATTGTTATGTGTTGATTTTATGGAAAAATGTTGATAAAAGGCAAAAAAATGCAGTTTCCAAGGACTCTGGAGCTATGGAAGTCACCAAACTTTGGCGGCCATTTTCTCACTAATTTTACTTCTGAAACCAGGCCACCCCACCTCCATCAATGGCAAATATCTCGACTTCTATTCAAGATAAATGGCTTTTTAAAAATCAAATGCAAGGCAAATGAACAACCTTTAAGATGATACCAATAACTTCATTTACCCAGTAATTGACAAGTGCCTGATTTGACCGCATCCTGACACAAATGTAGGTAATGAGAAAAACAAAACGCACATTGTTGAATACAGAAAGTACAAACACAGGAAAGAAAGAACGAATGAGGGGAGTTGGTGTAGAAAGTTTCAAACCCTCATTGAAGTAATTAAGACTTAAGACTAACTACTAACACTATGTCTTGCGTGGTTTGGAACTTCCCCCAAAAACGAGACTCCCATGACCCTAAACTTTCCCCCATTAGCACACTCCTCTCCAACGTCTTTTATATGAGTAGAATCTAGAAGTATATCGGTGACAAACTTCTTTCCTTTATGTGGGGAGAAATGAGCTTTGGGTGTGCATAACGGCAGACCACTTCTAATACAACATACTCCTTTCAAATCTTTCTTCTACAGACTTGCCATCTCATTCATTCCTTCATTCAAAAACATTTGCAAATACATTTATAACATAATTTCACTTATAAAATTACTATAAATATTTATATATATACATAACCACATACACATATTCAGAAATAAGACAATAAATATAATGACATGAACAAACAAAATGGAATAATGATATTATAAGATCAGTATAATTCAGTGGCACAAAATGAATTTTTTTAAAACATAGCAAAACAAAACATCAGTGGATTCGACCGTCCTGCCCGGCATAGCCACAGACCAGACCTCAAACAATTGGTTTGTGAAAGCAAAGGAC